TTTAGAGGATATGGGCCAAATGCTGGCAGATGGGACTAGACTAATTTAGGATATTTGGTTGGCATGGATGAGTTGGAACGAAGTGTCTGTTTCTGTGCTGTACATCTCTATGACTCTATGGCTATGACTCTAAAATCTGGAATACAGCACTTTCCAAATTCTCACCCATTTGAGAAATAGTCTGTACCTCTGTTCCTCCTAGCAAAGCAGACAACCTCACACTTATTCAAATTTTATTCTGGCACCCATACCCTCGACCACTCAGTCAGCCTGTCTAAATCCCAGTGAGGTCTCTAAATTCTGCACACACTTCACATCCCTGCCAAATTTTGTATCATTTTTGAACTTGGAAACACTACAATGGGCCCCACATCCAGTTCTTTTAATCAATCTGTTCAGGTATGTACTGATGGACCCCCGGGGCAAGTGGGAATTGAGCCCACACCTTCTGGTCTAGTATTAGGGGTACTATCATTGCACCATAAGACCCTCAAAGATTGATTTTAATCAACTTGTTCAGAGATGTTACCACACACCTCTGGAGCAAATGAGACTTGAACCTAGGGTTCCCTGTCCAGAAGTAGGAATGCTATCACTGCACCATGAGAGCCCTTGGTTCAAGTCACTGACATAGACTGTAAACAGTTGGGGGCTAAGCACTGATTCTGAGAATAACTCACTGGTCTGAGCCAACCAACCTGAGAATGACCCATTTATGCTGACTCTCTGCTTTTTGCCCTGTAACTAATCTCCAATCAATGCTGGCATTTTACTCCCAATTCCACATGCTTTATTTTGGTTTTCTAACTTTTGCGTGGGACTTTATCAAAAGCTTTTTTGAAAATCTAAACGCAACATATTCACTACTTCTCTCATTTCGACTCTGCTATTAACTTCCTAACAAACTCTACCAGGCTTGTCACATGATTTCACCCTCATAATAGATGACTCGGTATAATCAGACAATTATTTTCTACATTTCAAGCAATCATATTCTTTATAACAGATTCCAATATTTTCCTCACTACCGATGCTAGTGACATGGAGGAGTACTGATTCATCAGCTGATGGACATCAGTAGGAGACTTCCATGTCCATTTCTGCTCTGCTGCCATGAGAATTCACCAGAAATCAGTGTTGAGAATTTCTAGGCAATGTCCCAATATGTTGGTGGGTCTAGTCTTACCAGTGGGAACACGATGAATGCAGTTTGGTGATGGTGGCGTCGGGGACATTCTAAGTTTGCATTCTGTGAATATGACTATGTCACGCTGTTGCTGGACTAGCTCATAACACAACTCTTGCAAAGTTGAGACAAACCTCCAGTTATTAATAAGAAGGACACTTCACAGGGCACAGGTCTGGGTTGTTGTTGTTGCTTTCATTGCCTAGGTTAATGCCAGCTGATTCATCTGGTTTCATACAATTTTTTTTATGGCTTTGTAGTCAGTAGATATGACTGAGTGGTTCAGAGGGCAGCCAACGACATTTTTGCAGGTTTCGAGTCACATATAGGCCAGGCTTGGTAAGGCCGGTAGATTTCCTTCCCTAAAGCTCATAGCTCAAAAGTAAAGGAGCATTTTTTTTTTGCTCTTTCAGAGGGTCTTTGGAATTCCCTTCATCAAAAAAAAAGTGGATACAGATCTTTAAATATTTTTAAAGCAGAGGTTGATAGATTTTTGATTACCAAGGGAATTAAAGGCTATTGGGGGTATGCAGGAACAAAAAGCTGAGGTTAAAATCAGTTCAGCCACGACCTTATTGAAAGGTGGAGCAGCTTGAAGGGTCGAGTGGCCTACTTCTGTTCATTGTTCACATGTTTGTAAGGTCATCAGTGAACCAGATGAGTTTTCATTACAAAAGTTACCACCCGACCTGAGAACCTTCCATCCATGCTCAGCACAGGAAAAATCAGAAGAGGGCAGCTGTCATTAGGATCCCAACCCAACATTATTTTATGGACTTTCCCATCCTACACACAGATAGAACATACCTTTGCCTGACTATGAAAATTCTGCTCCTGGTCCCTACATAATGAAAATAATACAGAAGCACTGGAATAGGTGGAAAGTAGATTTACATAGACAATGGTAGAACAGAGAGGTTACAGTTATCAGAAAAGATTGAATAGGTAGTGATTTTTTTTCAGAAAAGTAAAGATTAAAAGCTCAGTATGCTTACCACAGAGATGATTGGATTTCTGATTTCCAGCGCCATACAGAATTATAGGGATGGTGTGAGTAACTAAGTGTTCAACTAGCCACAATTGTACCAAATGGTGGTGCAAGTTTGATGGGCTAATGGGCTGTTCCTACCTTCCCACTTGAAGGTAAATCAATTGAGATCTTTCAAATTGTGAATAGCAAGTGTGCTTACTGGCTGAAAGAAAGAAAAACACAGTCAAAACCAGGAAACAAAATAGGGACAGATTTTAAGGTTTGAATTTGCTAAACTCAGTGTTGAGTGCAGAAAGCTTGTAAAGTTCTCAACTGAATGATGAGCTGCTGTTGCTGACGTTTATGTTAAACCTCATTGGAACAGTGCAGTAGATTGGAAAAGAAACTTGATTGTGTAGGCAAGGTGGAAAATTAAAATGGCAGGCCACCAGATGCTAATGGACTGAATAGAGGTATTCACAAAGCAGTCACCTAAACTGTAGAGGAAGATTGTGATTAGTGAGTACAGCAAGTGAGATTCAAAGTAGTACATGTAAACTAGTGTTTCACCAGGGTAGAGTGTTGGGGCCATGTTCAGTGAGGAGAGCAGATGTAAAAGGGCACATGTTACATGTTCTGCTTTTGCACTGAATTGTATTGTGAGAAGGTCACAGGGTCTTGGGCGTGACTGAGGAATGGACCAGGGTATCATGAACGGAAGATGCATTTGGAGGTACAATCATGCCGAAGGTGGTGGAAAATGATCCAGTGAACTCCAAGACTGGTGGGGTGGAAGTGGGGCAAAGGTATTAGCGATATCACCTAGTATCAGTTAACATTGTTAGGGGAACACACAGAGAAAAATTAACATTTCACAGGATCCCATTCATATTGCTCTTGTGCACTTATCACTGGTTGACTCAAGTAACTCCACCTGCATATTTTCTGTTCTCTGTTTAGGAGTAGTTTTAGTTCGGGAATTAAAAAAAAGGGAAAGTTAACTAAAGGAAAATGTGTAGGGGGTGGCATTGTGGACATTGAAGTTTTTGTGCCTTGGTTTCAAATGCTTTAATTCACTTGGCTAGCAAAAAAAAAAAAATTATTAACTACACTTACATCTGTTCCTTTTGGTGGGAGAGAGTTCCAAACTTTTACTGCCCTTTGAACGAAGAAGTGTTTCCTAACTTTTCTTCTGAATGGCCTGGTGTTGAATTTAAGGTCATGTTCCCTTGTGCTGGCATGCTCCTTTAGTAGAGAGGGTTTCTCAATATCTACTCAAACTATTCTTATCAATGGGCACTGAAGACACAGAGGACAAATGCAGCAAGATGGATAGTTTAAGAAGACAACTGCAGTGTGGGGAAAACTGGCTGAAGACTCTGGCAGAATAGATCAAGTTTGAGTGGGTTTTATTTGCAAATGTCTGCTTGACATCATTGTGAGTCACATGCCTTACAAGTACCAATGTACGTTTATAAAGCATCTTTCATGTAGTAAAAAGTCAGAACTTGTCTCACTGGAGTGTTACCAGACAAGTCTGACACTAAGCCATATGAGGAGCTATTAAGGAAAGCAACAAAAAGCTCGGTCAAAGAAATTTTAAATAATATCTTAAAGGAGAAGAGCAGGGTGGAGTGGCCTGGGGAGGAAATTCCAAGACCTGTGGCTTTGGTAACTGATGGCACAGCAATTATAATTTTGGATGCACAACATGACAACATGGGAGGAACACAGAGATCTTGTGGAGTTTCACTTCTGGGAAAGATTACAAAGCCAGAAAGGGGAGGGGCCATGGAGAGACTTTAAAAATAAGGATGAGATTTTAGAAATGAGCCATCTGATCAGACGTGAATATAGATTGTGTAAACACATCTTAGTATGAGCTCGGATTAGAGCAGTAGAGTTTTGGACAAGTTCAGGTCTGAGTCCAATCAGCAGAGCACTGGAATAAAAGCAAAATACTGCTCAAAATCTGAAATAAAAACAAAGTGCTGGATTAACTCAGCAGGTCTAGTAGCATCTGTGGAAATAAAAACAGAGTTATGTTTCAAGTCCAGTATGACTTCTTCAGAATTGACGAAACTGAAAAATGGTGATTTTTATGCTGTTGACTGAGGGAGAGGAGAAGCAAGTGGAACAGATTGTGAAGGTGCTCAGAGCAAAAGATGGAGGCAATGATAATGGTGGTAAAGAAGTGATAGAAATGTAAAATACAGTAAATTGTCTGTATCCACGCGTCAATAACTCATGAATTTGCCTATCTGCACTAAAAGTTAAGTAGCAACAAAATTCAACATCTGTGGGCAAACTTGCCTATCTGTGATTTTTGACAGGCTCGGTACTCATGGATGTCATCATTCGCAGCGGTTCTCAGAAATAGAACCCTTGTACATACGGAAGGATGACAGTAGCTGTAAATATTAGGTGTGAAAAGGAGAAAATGGTTCAACTCAGCTGAGAGCAAAGTCAATCAAGACACAGCTGGGGAAGGGGGAGGATGTAAGAAACATGGAGGATAGAGCACTTTGAAGTTGTGGAACTTAATATTGAGTCACAGAGGTTGTGAAGTGTCTAGGCCAAAAATGAGATCCCAAGTCTTTCCCTGCACCCCTGCTCAAGCTTAATATGATTATGTGCAAATTCAGGGACCAGCTTTACTGTGAACCACGCTTCAAATTTCAGCTATCATTGTCATTACATAACTCAGACTAGATGATTAATATGATTAAATAACTTGTCTCATTTGTGATTCTAAAAAGATGACCTGAAACAAAATGTACAATAGAGGCCATTTTGTTACAATGCATAAAATAAAATGCAACAGTGGAGGCATACAATGTAGAAAGCATTTTATTACCAATTGAAACAATTTAAGATGGGAAATATACAGCATTCTGAAGAGTATAATGTGCAAGACGAAAATGTGTAATACGCAATGAATTACAGCACAATCCTAAATTTCCCAACTGATTTTCGAAGATATTTTTCTAAATACTCACAGTAACAAACATCACTTACTTGGTCACTCATCACCTTTATATTTTTGTCAACAATACTTACGACGTTCTCACAAATTAGCACATTTTGGTAATTCAATACAAATGTTCATTAGCAACAGCATTTTGATTAATTTCAAGTAAAATGCAATACTGTCTTCAGCACGATAATAACAAGTGATAGGCCAGCAGCCAATTTTCAAGAATTAAATGACCTCCACTCTTCCCATTTTGATTGAAAGCAAAATGAGTTAGCCTCAGTAGTAAAGAATGTGGGTTTCAAGAAGTCAGAGTAGGGCATAACACCTGACGTTATGTCTCTTTAGAAATTATTCTATACTCTCATACTCCTGGCATCAAAATTAAAGCAGACAACCTAGGGGATTTCTATGCAAATTCTCCTACCTGCATTAGATTTGGGTTGAAATAACCAAGTGAAATTAATGAAAAATGTGAAGAAGTCAAAAATTAGTTTCTGGAGTCTAGAAACTATTCCCGCTTAATATTTAGGTCAGTGGCTAACTTCAAATACATTGATAATTTAAGGAAGTTATATCTATTTAGCCTCATTTAAACAAGATCCTCTGTAAACAGATCAAAGCTGACAAATAAGCACATGCTGGTCACAAGAATCAACTCCCTTTTCTCTATGCTGGTCTGATAACAGAATATATGTAGATATGGAGATTGTTGATCTAACATGATTGTTACTGCTTCACTGAACGGCAAGGAGATAAACATGTGTGTTTTTTAGCCAATTTAACAGAAAAGTATTTCATCCTGGTGAGTTTAACATTAACCCAAAATTTCGCTGGGCTGTTACTGAACAGAGTAGGGGCAAGGGAAAAGAGAGAGGTATGCAGGCAATGAGTTATGTAATCTTCTATTTGAATCAAATGTCTGTTGTAGCAACAATGCAGCCTTTCAACTAACCAGCAAACTTCAGACCCAAGGGATCATAAACTGATGACTGTGAAACCCAAGATGGCAGGGCACTGTTCATGGTCAGTCTATTTTGGCACTGACCGATATAAACCAAATTATGTTCAACATGGTTTTCTGAAAAATTGTTAAAAATGACAATACAGCAAACATCAAAATCAGAACTTATTCATTCTTAGAACAAGTTACTAAACCTTTTGCAAAAGAATTTCACAAACAAATCAAATGATGTAAGTTATAGGATAATTTTATAAACATATTACATTACATTCAAATGGTCATCAGAGCTACCAGCCTGTGATAACTTTATCTTTATCCAACAGCAGTTAAGATTCCTTTTCCTTCACCTATAATAGCAGCAACTATGTTGGTTAGCTCAGAATTGCTGATCTGCAAGAGTTGGCTTACACATACTTCTTCCAGTCAGTGTGGACAAATGTGACATTGGAATAGGCTGTGAATGCCATAGTCAATACAAAAGAACCACCGAATTCTCAATACAACAAAGTGCAGCTTACATATCACACCGTAATCGAGCTTTCTGTACCTATATAGGAAGTGACTAGTATAAATGATAATGGAGTGTTTAGGAAATAAGGAGAGGAAAGTAAAGAACGGAGGTGAGATTTAAGGGATAATTAACAACATGACAACCTCCAGAAGTTAGCTTGCTAAATGAAAATAAGGCAGAAATGCCCAGTAAATTTGCTTCTGATGTTATCCCTTCACCAGAAATAGCCAAACCCCTAGTGTAGGAATATATTATGGAAAATTAAATAGAAAACTAGATGAACACAGTACTACACAGGCGATCCTGGGTTGTGAATGGGTTCTGTTTGACAGTCTGTTCGCAAGTCGATTTGTCACAAGTCGGAACATAATGCAGGACAATGTAAAGGAGCCATTTGTAAGTACAGGAAATATTCGTGTCACATCTTTAAAATTACACCCCTGTATGAGATCGCCTTTGTAAGTATGGGCATTTCTAAAAGGGATGTTCATTAACTGGGGAATCCTTGCATTTGACTCATAAAAACTAAGGAAACGGGCAAAACACAGTAATAATCCCAACACAGATTTTCTGTGTTCTGAAAATAGCACAAAATCAATAGTCATGCTGTCTCTGTAGAATAGTGGTAGCTTTCTTGATGGTTTTTGAAAATAATTTTTCACATTACTGAAGTAGCTACTGACAGTCTGTTTCATAGCCATGATAATGGCCACAGAGTCATACAGCGTGCAAGCAGACGCTTCGGTCCAGTCTGTTTTGAACATAATCCCAAACTAAGCTAGTCCCACCTGCCTGCTCCTGGCCCATATCCGTCCAAACATTTCCTATTCATGCACTTATCCAAATGTCTTTTAAACTTTGTAATTGTACCCGCATCCACCACTTCCTCAGGAAGTTCATTCCACATGCAAACCACCCTCTGTGTAAAACATTTGCCCCAGGGTTATTCAGCAACTCTGCAGATACAAGCATAGCTATGTTATGTATTTATTTTCATGGTTATCTGCAATAAATTGTATTGCAGTTTAACATCATAATAGAACATCTACTACTTTAATTCAAAGTCATCTTCTTTGCTTGGCAAAAAAGATGAATTAGCCAATTAGAAATAGGCAGTAGATTTTAGTTCTTTTATGAAAGCATTACTGTTTGATGTCAGAACTGACCCTCTTCTGAAGAATGTTCCAGCCCCTCGGCCAGCATTACTGCTTGTGAATTTCAGATATTGACTCTCAAACAAACTCATTGGTCATGAGCTGTCAAAGTTAACAAGGGTGTTGTTAACTCTTCTGAGATTCTTCTGCATAGGAAGTAAAGTATTGAAGAATTCATTCAAACAAATAACTTGGATGACATTGAAACATGAGATTATTAGTCTTGGTAGCAAAAATAATGCAGGGAATATTACATACTAATAAAGTTATCTATTTTCCTTTAGTGTGGATGGGGAATCAGTTAGATCAGATGGCTAGATGACTAGTTTGCAATGCAGAGGAACATCAACAACATACATTCTATTCCTGCACTGGTTGAGATTACCACGAAGGACTCTCCTTCTCAACCATGCCTGAGGGCCTAGTGATCTTCAGGTTAAACAACCATCAGTCGTCTCTCTTTAATGAGACAGCAGCCCTATGCTCTGGTAAGATGATGGAGACTTTATTTACTTTATTATACTTTGTCACATCTCTTTTGCTGAAGAGAAAGACTAAGTAGGCATGAAAAATATATAGTGTGTATTTTCATTTAAATTACTTCAAGTCATAAAACGATATTCTGTCTGTTGTGATAAATATTTCAAGTTGATTCAGAATATGCCTCCGAATAATTTTATCAGTTGTAATAAAAACTTCCAGTTATTTCAATTTTATTCCTGCATAGAGAAAGCCAGAAATCTATGACTGGTAACATTTCATGGAACAGTCAGTTTGAAAAGATTTTAGGTGGCAAAATTTAACTCTGCCCAGCAACAAAGGAGGGGCTTACGCGAGGTTTTCAATAGGTCATTCAGGGATAATTGAAGAGCAGTTAAAGAGAGAGACAGATAACAGACTCCACGTTGGAAGTGCTGATTATTAGCTGCCTTCCCTGCAGTAAGACTAAACTACACAGTTATAGTAGTTAAGTCCAAGACAGTTGGATACTCTGTGCTGTTAAAACTCAGGCCAAGTTCTAGGAGTTATTAGGCAGCTAGGTATTGCAGTTGGGGATTAGGAAAAATCCTGCAGGTTGTGATGGCTCACAAGAAGTCAGGTGCCACTAACAATCAGCATAGCTGACAGTCAGGATTGAAAAGCCTTTAAGAAGCATTTGCTTCACACCACAGAGCATGATTAGAGCTCAGGAAGAACACAGGAACTGATGTTCCTCGGTGAAACCAGCAGTTGATGAAAGGTTGAAGTTGTGTCTCTTAGGGACGGTAGTTTTCAGAGTCCAGGGAAGCATCTGGTCAGGAAAAGAGGCTGATCAACCAGAGCAGGAACAGTTGTTCAGGCAGTGTAATTAAATGGCTCTGGAGGGGAAGTTTCAGCAGTAAACTGCCAAAAGAACTTGTAAACTTTAACCAGATTTGATGACCCACAGTGTCATGAACATTTGCAGGGAGTGGCAGATAAATCTGTGTATCTGCCTTGATTGTGGGGTGTTTGATCACATTATATTAACTATGGTTACCATATTTTATTTCTCGTTGTTAGAAATAAGTTGTACATGTATTGTGCATTGTATTACTGTTTTAACTAGTGTGGTAAAGTATTATTGTTTGCTCAAATATGTTTCATGTGGTTGCTGCCCTTGTCCTTCTCGATGGTAGTGGTTGTGCATTTGGGACATGCTGTCTAAGGAGACTTAGCCAATCCTAAGGTTCCAGAGTTCTAAAATAATAGCCCATACACAGTTCCCCTCTACCCCAAAGGACGCACAAGAAGATATTACTCTGCTTCCAAAGGTACCACAGTGTCCTTGCTTCATTACATGCCAGTTTCAAACATTTTCTGTAAAACAAAATTGCTACAAATTCAAGTTTATTCAGTCTTGGTTCCTGCATGATTAAACTGAACTAACAATTAAAACAGTTTTGCTTATTTTTCATTATACATATATATTCCAGAAATTAAAAATAAAGTCAAGTACATCACTGAGTGACAGGCAAAACCACTAATGGGTGCAATTTGATTTTGTGAATGAGTAGTATAGATTGGATAGAAACTGAATTGTTAAAAATGCACTCATTCCACAATGACCTGGCCTTCTGGAGGATATTCTTTACGCCCCACCTGAAGATATGATCTTTGATCACTGTATTCCAAACTACTTCCAATCTGACTTAAAAAATAACACGTGCAAGTTCAAACAAGACCTGCATAAGAAAGAAGAAGAAGATTAATTAACTTGCTTGATTCTTGCAAAATATTGTATGCCATAAATCACATGCTTGTGAAATTCTCATCACATTTGATGAACTTAGTTTATTATTCAGGAAGATCCTACTTCCCTTCCCCACAGAGGATTCAGCTGATTTTAAAATAATTCCAAGGTTTCTGCCACTATTAGTCTGTCCAGAAGACTATTCTGTGTATCCTTCACCCTTTGTGTGACAACCTTCATGATGCTACTGTTAAATGTGTATGTTCACTAGCTTTTGCCTAGTGCTTTTATACTACAGTCAGGGTTTAGTTTGGAATTATGTTTTGGAATTCTCGTCTTTACTTCTAAAATATATTAAATAGCTCTATATGCTCCATCTCTATTGTCTTCCTGCAAGGCTGAGACAAATTTATATTTTCACCTTTAGACACACTTCACACTTACAGGACTTTCCAAAATGCTTTATCACCTATGAGGCACATTAGTCACTGTTGTAAAGTTTTTCCAATCTTTCCTCACAACATAGTGTCTTGATACTAGACACTCCCTCTTCCCTACAGGTTCATAGTCTGACCTTTTAAAATAAAACCGTGTCTGGGACCAGAAAGGCCAGTGGCTCTACCAGTCAGAGGAAAAAAGTTAACAAAAAAAAACTAGAAAAACTCTAGTCAGGCAACACTTGTGGAGAGAAGCAGAGTTAAAATTTCACATTATTAAACTCTTTGCTGGACCCATTCCCATTCTTTTTGGCTACTGCATCATGAAATATTTTGTTATTTAATCTTCCCTGGCCTCCAACCTAGTCCAGACCTTCAATTTGTTCTGTCTACCTCTTCACCTCTTCCACCTGCTCAAAAACTTTTACATTTTTATCTTCCTTCAATTCTGCTGAAAGGTCATTAACCTGAAATGGTAACTCTTTGTCTTTTACAGATGCTAACAGATATTAGTTTTTCCAGTAAAATAAAGCAAAGAACTGCAGATGCTGGAGATGTGAAAGAAATAAAAGCAGAAATTGCTGGAGAAATTCAGCAGTTCTGACAGCATCTGTGGAGAAAACAGCGTTAACATTTCAAGTCCAGTGACCCTTCTTCAGAAATTTTTCCAGGCTTTCTTTTGGCTCTCATTTCAGGTTCTGAGTATTTGCATTACTTCACTGTGTGCTACAGAAGATCATGTTTGGATGTTTAAAGGGTTTTTTTTTATTTAGAAGAAATCATACAAAACTGAGCAATCCTGCTCTCCCAGTGAGGAATCATTTAAGAGAAGTGAGGATCAGAGAATGAGAACTACAATGTGTAGCTTTATCTCCAAGCCACGTGCATTTGGGAATATTAACTCCCCAGTGGGGAAAGGGTGGTGAACCAAAATTCGAAAAATAGCTGCATGCCTGACAAAATTGTGACATAGGTTTGATGGCCCAAATAGTCTATTCCTGTGCTTGGACTAAAAATCTCAAGTAAATGTTAAAAATTGGAAGTCAAAGCATTCTTAAAAGCCACAATTTCTTTGAAAATCTTGTCCTCAGTTCTTGCTTTTAATTTCAACAATGATAGCGATACTAGATGCATCTATATTGTGAGGAACACTAAAAACTGCACATTCACTTTTAAAGGAAAGCAACTAGTGAATTGTTCTTGGGGGTAAATAAGATTTTCTACTAAGTCTTAACTGAAAGTACTCAAGTCTTTCACTTACCAATTGCTGCTAATTACAACTTTGAATGATGGGATAATTTGCTTTGAAACTGATATTATTAATTAACCTGCTGTTAAATTTAGCTGCTAGTATATACTTCTCAATTCAATTAAGCATAACCGAAATAATGTAATACTACCATTGACTATTATTTACAGGAGACTGACATACCTTCTATAACAATGTTAACAAATGTAATTATCATTGGCATTTTGACCTTTGACCATTTTAATGTCAATGGAATGTTAGCCGTTATTGTTAAATGATTTGAGTAGAGGAGTAGTGTAGTCAATGGAGTTGGAGGAACACAGCAAGTCAGGCACATCAGAGGAGCAGGAAAGTCGACGTTTCGGGTTGTTGACTCTGACTCCAGCCTCTGCAGTTCTTGCTATCTCCAGGAGTAGTGAAGTCTTGCTTTAATTGTATAGGAGCTTAGTTAGACCGCACCTGGAAGTACTCTGCACAGTTTTGGTCTCCTTATTTCAGGACAGATATTATTGCCATAGAGGGAGTGCAACAAAGACTTTTTACAGGATAGCAAGACTGTCCTATGAGGTGGAATTGGGCAAACGGTATTCTTTAGAATTTAAAAGAATGAGAGGTGATCTTGTTGAAATGTACAAAATACTCAAAGGCTGAACAGTGTAGATGCAGGTAGGATGTTTCCACTCGTTGGGGTGTCTAAAACCAGGGGGCTTAATATAAAATTAAGGAGATTGCCAAAAAGGTCTGTGTTGAGGAAAATTTTCTTTTACTACTGGGGTTGTGAATTTTATCTCACTCAGGGCTGTGGAAGCTTAGTTTATTTTAGTGTGTTTAAGGTAGAGATTGATAGATTTCTGATTACCAATGATATGCAGGGGTATGAGAAGGGGGTGAGTAAAAGGCATTGAAGTGTTCAATCAGTCATGATTGTATTAAATAGCAGAGTAGGTTTGAGGGGTTGAGTGGCCTACTCCTGTCCCCAAACTCACAACTCAATCAAGACATTATCAATCATTTAGTAGAAAAACAGGAATGCTTAGAATTTGAAAATAGCAGTTCAATCCAAAATTACCTGCCCCATAAAATTCTGCAGAGTACAGTAAAAAGTCACAGATTTCCTTGTCCTTGGCTTTTGCTGATTGGTGATGATTGGATCCATTTCAGAAATTAAACTAACCCGGCTACATTATCAGCAACTTCCAATGGTGAAGCCATGCTGAAAGGTCAATGTAAATAAAAGTGTAACCTCCAATTCACTTTCCTGTCAGCAATGCTCCCTGCTGGGATTGGGAATTACTCTTATGTTACTTTTTTAAATATAAACTGTTCCATTGCATGATGCTGAAATTCATAATCATCATCTTCAGAGCTGACAGTTGGTATGTTATATAACCAATATAAGCTTTAGTGTGCTTGTGTAGGTTAATGGCTGGAAAATGGAAAGCACACTTCACTCGCCCGAGTCCTAATCTACAATCTAGTGTACTGAGACTCTGTGCCATTGGCAAAGTTATGCTGTGTTTGAGGGATTAATAAAATTATTTATGATTTAGCTGTAGATTTAGCTTCATGCCTGCAGCCTATAGTACCATTTTGGCTTTTTACCCAAGGAAGGGTGATATGAGTATTTGCCTTTCTTAGGATTAAATATTTAGTATTTGATTTTTTTCCGCCTTTGATGGTTTTGAAGCCACATCCATTACAAAGGACATTCAATTATTCAATGATGCAAAAAAGATATTTTGCAAAACCAATTATTGGCAGAGTTTCCTCCAGGCTGTATGGCCACACTGACGCTCTGAGGATCCATGCACATTGCTTGGTGTACTGACACTGTTCCCAGCATTGACTTCTGGTTCTGGAAGTCACTGCCCAGCGGTCCATGCAGGAGAAAAAATATTAGTAGGTGTGTTGCATATTTGATTTGATTTTGATTTATTTATTGTCACATGTACCATAGTACAGTGAAAAGCTTTGTTTACGAGCAGTATATAGTACGCAAGGACATACAGATCATAGGGTGTAAAAGAGACTTAGACAGAGGCATACCGGTTATGCCACACAAGGCATGCTTCAACTTTTAAAATAAAAACACATCAAAATCTAAAGGACTGACTTGTGCAAAGTGCAGATATCCATTTTATTACAAGATATCATCATTGCTAACTTGTAGGTACACAGTAGTCTACTTGCAGGTACACAATAGTCTACATGTGCAGTAAAAATTATGATAAGATGGAAATGAACACGTTTAACACTCTTACCAGGTTTAAAATTTAGCCTAAACTGATAGAATGAAAATCTCCTCTCACTACTGGCTATTAAAATGCTGAATCTTGTATGAAGTCAAATTTGACTCTGAGGGATTGAGTGAAATGGGTTTGACCCACCTCAAACTATTCGTGGGTCTGCTAAGAATTTGGCACCACTGAGGTTGTTTCTTGGCGAGGCGTGGAGGACAGCTGGTGTGGGAAAGAGAAAATTTCACACTGGTGCATCAGAGAATACTCTTCAGTTTAGTGCAAAGGCTCACTGAAAGGCTGGAGTGAAGAGAGCTCTGTCTGGCTCATCCTACACTCAACATAGTAATGCATGGTGCCATGTAGGTACCCAAGGTTGAAAGTTGTCTACTCCACTAATAACCCTCACCTAATAAGTGCGACAAACAGAAATTGTAAATGTAAGATTTTTGATAGTTGTACAGGATCTCTCACAATAGTTAGCTTTAGGTTATTTTGACAACCTTGAATTGACAACCCTGAAAAATGAGATAACAAAATTGGTCTTAGCAGCTGAATGACCTACTTCAATAGAAATGAGGATCACGATCATCCACTCAAGACGTAGTCCATGTTTCTCACTTAGATGGTTTCTCATCAAGTCTGTTAGTTCAGTACAATGCTGTAACTTTTCATTAATCACCTACAGGGTTCAAAAGATTTGCATTCTTAAGGTATATTCATCTGACCACGGTTCTCTCTAGATTTCATTCAGCATGAATGTATGTCTAATATTAAGTTGTCACCAGCAAAAAGTTTGTTTTTTACATATGGTGCTTTTGTAATTCATTCTGCATACTGTTCCATATGTGTAGACTCTCACAAAATTGCAGATTGCATAACTGTGCAGAGAGCTCACCATATTGAATTTTTAACATTGCTGATACACGTCTGTCATTAAATTGAATCACTGGAAAATCAGAAGCACCTTGAATTGCCCATCTGACTTCAAAATGTTTTTCCAACTTCTGGTCTGCACCAAAGCAGAGTTTTAATATTTACCATTACAGACAATGTATTATATAAACACTGGAAAACAAGATCAGTATTCCAGCATTAAAAAGAACACTAACCTATTCCTCTCTATTATGTGCAAATACAAAAAAAAAGCGGTGTAACAAAACCAAAATCAAGTCCAGAAAATATTAGTGTTTTAACGACTCAAGTCACAGCTTTTCCTGAACAATCCAAATTATGAACATAGGAACAAAACTAGGCCATTTAGTACCTCGGGCTTGTTCTACCATTCAATAAGGTCATGACTAATCTCTGATCAATATGATCCATATATACACTGTTAGTGTCTGGATTAGTAATCTAGAGGCCTGGACTATTAACCCAGAGACAGGGTTTAAATTTAACCTTGGGAGCTGCCAAATATAATTTCATAACACAGCATAGGTTACTGGATAAATCTTGTACAAAAATCTAGTAATAGTTACCTTGTAACTACTGGACTGTCACACAAAAAAAAATCACCTGACCTGTACGTGACTCCACAACCACAACAAAGTGGGTAATCCTTAACTGCCCTGTGAAATGACCCAGCAACCCACTCACTTAACGGCAACCGGATGTGCAGTAAATGCTGTTCTTGCCAGTGACGCCCACATCTCATGAACAAAAATAAACTAACAATTGCAGTTTTGATATTAAGTATTGACCCAGTGTCAGTTTCCATTCGTGGTGTGAGTTGCAGACTTCTACCATCAAGTGTTTCAGAAGTTCACTTACGAAAGGTTTGGCTCTAACATCTACGCTATGTACACTTCTCACAGAGAAATGTGAGGTAATGCATTTTGGTAGAAGGAACACAGAGAGACAATACAATACAAGCTCAATGGAACAACTTTGAGGGGAGTACAGGTGCAGAAGAACCTAGGGGCTCATGTGCATTGTTCTCTAAGGTGGGCAGGCAAGTTGAAACAGTTGTAAAGAAGACACAGGATCCTTGAGTTTATAAATAGAGGCATAGAGTATAAAAGCAAGAAAGTGATTTTACACCTCTACAAATCATTGGTCAGAACACATTTGGAGCAGTGTATTCAGTTCTGGGTAACTTATTTAAGGAAGGATGTTCAAGCCCTGGAGACAGTGTAAAGGAGATTTACAAGAATGATACCAGGAATGAGAGATTTTAGATACAAAGGAAGATTAGAGAAATTGGGTTTATTCTCCTTGGAGCCCAAAAGATTAACAGGTGACATGACTGAGGTGTTCAAAATAATGAACAATTTTGACAGAATAAAGAAGGCAATTCTGTTACCACTAGTTGGTATGTCAGTAACTGGGATTCATAATTTGAAGAATGTCAGCAGCAGAGCTAGGAGTGAGACATGGAGAAACATCTTTACTGTGGGAGTAAAATTGAATCAGAGATAG